CCTAGGCCAACTCTGCCACAAAGTAAGTATACCAAAACTAAGTCAACAAAAGCTACTCATCACTACAACTTAGAAACTGACACATGGTTTAACATAATACATTCACCAAATGAAAAAAAGAAAGAAAAATAAAGATTTTTTAAATACATTTTTGTAGTTGTAGGTGGACACAATATCTTTATTTTGTTTATATGTGGTGCGGAGGATCAAACCCAGGGCCTCACACATGCTAGGAAAGTGCTCTACTGCTGACCCACAACCCCAGCCCAAGAAAAAGAGGTTTAAGCACGAATTTAAAGTATACACTAAGGACTTTCAATGGCACATCTTTTTTTTTAATGGTAAATTTTGGTATGTAAAGGTAAAAATAATAAAATATCATGATAGATATTTTGGAAAACTGGGTTCTGATTCATATGCCCCCAAAATACAATTTTTCAAAGACTTCATCTTATAAAAACAACAGAATTGAAATCAACAAATTTTCGGGTCTGGGGATGTAGCTCAGCTGGTAGAGTGCTTGCTTCCCATGCATAAGGTCCTGGGTTCAATCCCTAACACCACCAAAGAAAAAAATATATGAAATCAACAAATTTTCAAAAGGAAATTAATACTTACATTTCACCAATGTATTATTCCAAACAAGAAAACCACTTCTGTTTTATCCTTAACAAATTATAACTATTCTGTGATAAAATATTTACAAATTTCAACATTACCTAAAGAGCCTACAATTAGGTTACCATCTATCTTCACAACAAAAAGGGAAACAGACAAGTTCAAATCTACACTTTACAAAAATTAAACACTCCAAAGAGATCAATTCAAACTTTTCATATATTTCCTACAAGTAAAGCTCCATTGTAGGTGAAGAATTGGAATTTTAGTGGGAAAAAAATATTGACCTACATACAAAAATATGGGCTTAATTCTAGTTCTGATTTTGGCCACTAACTAGCCAAATATCCCCCAAATTTAACTTTTCTGAAGTTCTTTAAACTTCTTTTGAGCCTCTGTATATTCATCTAAAAAGCAATGATTACTTCCTGACCCACCTAGTTTCCAATTGTCACAAAGAATCAAATAATCCAGCATTTACAGTCATTATAAAATAATGAAAAATGTTATAAGGATACTCTTCTTAATGCCATCAAAAAGTAAAATACATCTGTTTTCAACAGACATTTTTCCTCCATCAAGTATTAATAACTAATTCCTTGGACACTGTTTATAACAGGCAATTTATTGATTTTCCACTGTTCATTATGATTACAGTTTTATACAATCAGTAAAAAGACTCCAGTTTTTGTAATAATTATGGAATCAAAGTTACTAAAGCTGGAAAAGAAACCAAATAACAACATGTTCTGTTTCTCTCTTACCAGGGAGACAATCTTGAAGGTGCAGAGAAGTCAACTGTTCATTAATCAAACCATGTCTTAAACACACTAGTGACTGAGTAACTTCATTTTTTTTTTTTTTTTAGAAAACTCACTAAATAAGAAACACAGTTTATTTTGTCAAGTTTGGGTGTTCAATTGATAAAATGAATGAAGGTAAGGTAAAGAATATTCTTACTTAAGGCATTCAGGTATAGAGTAGATAAAAAATTGTTGAGGGCTAGGGATGTGGCTCAAGTGGTTGCGCGCCCGCCTGGCATGCGTGCAGCCTGGGTTCGATCCTCAGCACCACATACAAAACAAAGATGTTGTGTCCGCCAATAACTAAAAAATAAATATTAAAATTCTTTCTCTCTCTCTTTAAAAAAAAATAAAAAATAAATTATTTCATTTATATCACTTCCATCCAAAAATGAGAGCTACAAAGGCAATTATAATTAAATGACTAGTCTGACAGTGTTATGTGCTTTCCATCCACCCAACTCACCCCAAGACTCATCAGCTCTCAAAACACTAAGAAACAAAATGGGTACACATATTCCAATGAAAATCTAAAATCCAAGAATTAAGTACTAGAAGGAATCTCCTTGGATCTAGTCCTTAACTGCTGAGGTCACTTAAAGGCATTAATTATATCCAACTGATGGTAAATGAGTTGGATGATTTTTAAAACACAAAGAAAACCATCATGTCAACAAACTCCTGATTTGCTTTACCCACTTGCTGACTAGTACGTGGTGCAATTATATAAACTGTTGTGCTACTTTGTTCTGTAATATAACAGCAAATAACGTATATTAGTCAAAAGTCTCTGACAACACAAGCGTTTCTAGCTGCAAATAATGTCCCTATGTCCCTACAGTGGGAGTTCTTAATATCAGTGAATGGAAAAATACGAAGATTCTACTATTTTTAAAAAATTCTCAGTAATTCTGGGAGCTGCCTCCAGCCCAACAGACTGGCCCACAGGATTCACAACGGAGATTCATGTAATCCACAGCCTCCCCTAAAATCATATCCACAATCTATAGGTGAATCTGAAAATATTCCAGGTCAACAGAATTCTTTAATTTCCATAAGGGTTAGTAATCCCTCAGAAGGTTATAAAGTAAAACACAAAATGCTTCCATGGATTTTTGCTCAAAATGCCACCAATAATCTCCCAATAAACCTGCATCAGAATCAAGTTACTTGACTTCATCAAATTGCCTATTCTGCTGCCTTTCTCTTTTCCACTAGCATTACTACCACCTTAGCTCAGACTCATAGCTCAGACCTATGAACTAAACTATAGGGAGATCTATGTACCCTAGGCTTGCCCTATCTCAAATCACACTACATTTTACTACAAGATTTATCCTCCTAAAACAAAGTTTTAAAATTGTTTTGCTCCCAACTCAAAAATCATCTGTGGAATCCTCATTGCCTAAGAAATCCAAAGTCATTAGCATGTCATTAAAAACAAGCCACTTAGCTTACCATGATGATGCACACCTGTAATTCCAGCTACTTGGGAGACTCAAGGCAGGAGGATTCCAAGTCCTAAGCCATCCTAGACAACTTAGAGAAACCCTGTCTCAAACTTTTAAAAAGGTCTGGGGATGTAGTTGAGTAGCAAAGCACTCCTGGATTCAATTCCCATGGTGGGGGAGGGGCAGAGAAGGGGGACAAGACAATTGACTGGACCAAATGATTATTTCAACCTTTATCATCCTTTATCCTAGTACAAATACTTTATGTCCCACACAAACATAATCACTTGCCTCTTCTAAATGTATAAACTCTGTACTCTTAGATCCTTTTATCTGCTTGGATCACCTTTCCCTGCCTGTCAAAAGTCATAGTCATCCTTCAAATCCAAGATCTCAAAAGACAAATGCTCCATGAACTAACCCACTTTACTTCCACTTTGCCAAATGATCTGACTTCTACCCACTCTGGGATTGAATTCTAAGAGGATTTTGTATTGTTTATGAAACTTAAGTATAGATTAAAAGAACAATGGGACATACGTGCCTACCTCCTTAGACAAGCAGTACTAATCATCCTCATTTTTGTATTTCCCAAAACACCTCAGTCATACAGTAGATGCTTAATGTTTGTGCAAGGAAAAGAAATTTCAGCCATTGTTAAGTAAACAGCAAAGATTAGTCTCTCTTCTAAAGCAGACTTGATCTGTGACCTCCTGTATCTTGCTAGGCTTCCAAATAACATAAATCTTCACATTGTTTTTCAAAATCATGGTGTCTTAGGTCTTACAAGCAGTTATACATTTTATGGGAAGAACTATTTTAAAATATTAATAAGCCATGACCCAAAGAAACATACCATATACTTCATACATCTCAGTAGTTCCCAAACTTGGCAACTACATTTTTAATTTTTTAAACATTAACTATTTATGAAAAATACTAATTTCCAGTCACAGCTAATATGCTACTTTATGGGGAAAACAAGTCATAAAACTAAGAGGATGCCTTTATTTAAGAATTTAATTTTTTCCTAATTTTGCTCTGCACAATACACACATACTTTGTAAGACAGGTGAAGTGTATTTATGCATAAGTCTGAACTCATGTACAAACCTGCAGACAACTGTAAACCAGATATTTCTGGTTAAAAGAAAAAAAAAAAAGCCACTAAAGGAAAGCAGAAGATAAGCCTGAATGTTATCATTTTCCATAACTATTACAAGCAGCATTTTAAAGCTCAACTCTTGTTGCACATTCGCCTACACTAAAGGATAAAAACTTGGAAAAACAAATCAAGCTCCTTGGAAAATATTTTATCCTGGATGAATTAAAATGTCAAAATTATAATAGATAACTCCTCTTCTTTGGTAATGAGACTTCATATAATTTCTGGAGGGAAAAAATAAAAAAATAAAAAATAAAAACCTCAACTCCAAATCGATGGAGCAAAGAAAGGACTGCACAGTTCCTGCACACACAAACTGATCATTTAAAGGTTGTAAAAGCCATGCACAAACTACAGAACTAAAAAAATTTAAAAATATCACAGGACAGGGCCCAAGCCACCAGATAAAATAGGACTAGTAAAAATCTGCAAGGTCACTGGAACCTACCAGGTCACAAAAGGTGGAGGTGGGGGGGTTGTGGTGGGGGAAGCTACGGAGCCAGTATAGAAGCGAAGTGCTTAAAACACGTCAGAAAAAGACGTTCTAAGGCAGGAGTCCTTGGTTTGGGATGGTGGAACTGGGGTGAAAGTCAGGGCACCGGCAGTTTTGAGAAAGGTGCTAGGGAAAGGAAGAAAGGTAGAAAGAAGGCGAACTGAAGGCTGAGGGAGCTTGAGAACTGCGGCTGCAGAGTCACGAAAACACTTCGCTCCGCTCCAGTATCATCAGCACAGGCCTGTGCCTGGGCCAACTCGGGGCAAGACCTGTGACCCCACCCCAGAAACTCCCGGCCCCCAGACTGAAGAAGGCAGCCACCGCAGAGCGGACTGACCCCCGACAGTCCCTCCGAGGGTTCTGCAGCGGACAGCCAGCGCCGGGCTCCTGGCACCGCGGCGCAGACTCCCGGCCCGCGCCCCCGCCCCGCCAGCGCCCCCAGCCCCAACCCCGCGCCCTGGCGTCCTTACCCGGCGCGAAGCTGTCGGCCGGGCGGCCAAGGCAGCAGCGCCTCCTCCACCGGCGGGTGCTCTCACCCTTCCGTGCCCAGGATCGCCATCTCGCAGCAGGCGCGGCGGCGGCAGCCACCCAGGCGTCGGCCCCGGCAGCCCAGGCCGCCTGCAGCCACTCGGAACCCGCACGCCGAGCTTGCGGACACCCGACCCTCCCCCCACCCCCACCCCGGCCACGCGCTACCCGCAGCCGACCCCACACCTCCCTTCCTCGGGAGCGTGCCGCGTACCCGCGACGCCGGCAACGCGCACCAAGCGCGCGCCTCCCAGCCCGCCCCTACACAGCGCGCTGCGCCGAAGCCACCCAAAGCCTCCAACTCCGGACCCGGAATCCGGCTCCCCGCGAGCATGCGCAGCGAGGGTGCACTGAAGCTGCCTCTGGACAACTCCGCTCCTCCGGGTCTTCGGAGCGGTCGAGTGGAGGTGGCGAACTAGCCAATAGAAGATCGGGGCGTGGCCAGAACCTGTGGAAGGGGCGGGGCCGCCACCGAGATTTAGGAAGAGGCTTCCCTAAATTCACGCTGAGTACCTAACTGCTGACTTGACTTTCCGGTCCGCCAAACCCTGTGCATGACCTCAAGTAAGGTCCTCGGGGCAGTGGCGTTCTTTCTCTTTGCCTATTTTTGTAGGCTGCTAGTAAATACTCCTTGACTTACCTTAGTATTTGACTTAGAACCCATTACAAGAATAAATAATTGGACTCAGCAGATGGTCCTACCAGAAGACTTGCAGTCCATTTTTATTAGTAATCAAATTGCTCACTCCCCCCACCACCCACTACCACATCAGCCCAATAATAAAGCAAATACATGTGTCCATGCAATTAATCCACACCACAGTCCTGTAAGGTAGCGTTTATTAGCTCCATTATACAAATGAGTTAACTGGTTTAGGAAAATGCTATTGGTAATCTGTTGCTTTCAGAAGAAAGGCCACCCTGCAAATAGAAGTCTGTGATGATCACATTACTTTCCAGATGACATGGTCTTAAGATAAAAAAGCAAAGTCGGTTTCTACAATTTTTGCCGAAACCACTTACCCAACCCCTACAAACTACCTGCAACCAACCTCCAAGCTTACTAGTTCACCCTCTCAGAGGTTAGAGTTCCTGCTCCTTTCCAAAGGAAACTCCTCCACTGACGGCTCCTTCCTGGGACCCGCTTCTTAGCCTGTCTCGAAAACTTTTTCGTCTCTCCTGGCTACAACAGCATAATCATGTTTTAAGATTTTTCTGTCCTAAATTTTCTCTTGACTTTCAAGCATCTTTCTAGTTATCTTTTTCCATTGTCATTAAACTTTTTGAAAGAAGTGTGTAACAAAAATAGCAGTGACATTCAACAAATATCTCTTGACTGAACAGTGTACATTCCCTTCCCCTCTAGTGCCTTAATCCCTGCCCTTTGACTTCACACTTGAATCAGGCGCATCGTCTCATGATGCATGAAGATCAATCTAAGATATATAACTGATAATATCATTCTACTGCTTAAAATCATTCATTGGCTCTTTAGAGCTTTTATGACAAAGACTAACCAGATTCAAGGCCCCTTGCATGCTCACATCCTTGGTTTCTTCTGTAATGAGAACTCTTCATAGTTGCCTGAATGTGTTAACTCATCTCTGTGCTTAAATACATATTGTTTCCTCTTTTTTCCCATATTTTTGCTGTCAGGTCCCTTTCAATAAATGCAGCAACTGCTTATAAACACCCCCTCAGAAACACTATGCCTATCCCCAGCAGCGTCTGTACTCCTTCTCCAGAACTTGTGCAAAGCCTCCTGCTTCCTGCTCTGTCTCACTTTCATCTCCCCCAATTGCTCAGTGTCCCCTCAGCCCTGTATAGAAGCTCCTAATGTTCTTCTCATCCCCTGAATTGACACCCAATATTGAATGTTTACTTTTTAAAGATATTTTTAGTTGTAAATGGACACAATACCTTTATTTTATTTATTTATTTTAATCTTTATTTATTTATTTATTGGTACTGGGAATTGAACCCAGGGGCATTCAACTACTGAGCCACATCCCTAGCCCTATTTTGTATTTTATTTAGTGACAGGGTCTCACTGAGTTGCTTAGTGCCTCACCATTGCTGAGGCTGGCTTTGAACTCCTAATCCTCTTGTCTCAGCCTCCCTAGCAGCTGGTATTGCAGGAGTGCACCACCAAGCCCAGCTTATTTATTTATTTTTATGTCATGCTGAGGATCTAACCCAGTACCTTTCAAATGCTAGGCAAGTACTCTACCACTTAGTTACAACCCCTGCCCCAAATATTTACTTTCATTACTAAACATTTCTTGGGTTTCCAATGGATACTGTTGTACATATGTTTTTGAAAATCACTGTCCATGTCCTTATGTACTATCTTAAGTTAAATTCTTGAAAGTCATCAAAGGGTGTGAACAAGTTTAACCCTTTTGAAACATGTTGGCAAGTTGCTTTCCAGGAAGAACATGGGGATTGAAACACAGCTCTGCCACTGCAGGCCACCTTCTGACTTTCAAGATCCTAGACACTTTTACTTTTGTGGGCTTCTTCCTCCATAAAACAAAATTACAAACTATGTTTTCATACTGCATTGATATAGAGACAAATATATGGACATTATACATTAAAATACTTTCTTTAAGCCAGGTGTGGTGGTGGTACACACCTATAATCCCAGCTACTCAGGAGGCTGAGGAAAGGAGGATGGCAAGTTCAAGGCCAACCTGGGCAATTTTTTGAGACCCTGTCTCAAAATAAGAAAGTAAAAAGGGCTGGGGTTATAGCACAGAGGTAGAGTGTTGCCTAGCATATGCCATAAACCCCATATTGTACCCTCCCGCAATTTTTTTCTTTTACCTAAACATTTATTTTTTTTTCCTTCTGATCTGAATAGAAATTAAAGCATTTTTGTGAGCTCTAAATGTGTTATGAGCCTGAAGCACTGTGCCTATTATGCCTAATGGATTAGCTGGCCCTGTAGCCACCTACAAACCATGAGATTTGGCCAAATTACTTAATCTGATTATACTTTAGCTAGGAAATTAGTGTAGTGCTGCCACATGATATTATAATAAAAAGGAAATAACTTGCTACAAGAATACTTATAGCTATCTAGCACGTAAGTATGGCACATAATCAATGAATTCCTGTTGCCATAATTGTTATTATAAATTTTCCCACAGCACTACAAGACAGTAAATGTGCTTCTTCAGAGTGCCCAAGTCACAATGAGTAACTTTGGTAAATATGCTCTTATCACTGGTCCATAGTCCACTTTCTTGCTGGGATGCATAATTCACAAGAGGGCACTTTCTATCGTGTAGATATTGATCCTTCATTAAACTATTTGTCTTTTCCATTTTTGTTTTCTTTTTACCTCATACATTTTTTCTCATCGTTAGGTCATGTAATTCTTCTGCTCTTATTTTTTTCTATGTGTTAGACAATTCTTTTTTTTTTCATTAAGTAATTTAATCTTTGAAGATTTATTTTGGAGTGATATTCTTTTATTTTCTCTAAATAGCTCATAGTATTTCCCAGTCTATTTGTCAAAGAATCTTTCTCTAGCCAGGGGTGGTAACACTTGTGTATAATCCCTGTGACTCCAGAGGATGAGGATAGAGGATTACAGATTTGAGGTCAGCCTGAGCAATTTAGCAAGAAGCTGTCTCAAAAATACAATGAAAAGGAACCCAGGGTTCAATTCCCAGAGTACCACCAAAACAAAACAAAAAAAACTTTCTCTAACTGTAGTAATATTAAAATATGTCCACAACTTTGTTGATCCTCCTTCTTTCACAAACCAGAATCTGATTCTTTTCCAAGTGAGTGTGGAATATAGTTAGTGACTTGGTTCTAATAGATACAATGAGACTGAACTATCACTTCTCAAATTAGGTCATAAAAAGGCATTATGGATTCTCCCTACTCTCTCTCAGATCATTAACAACTACCACACATCAAGCAGCCCTATGCACAGGCCCACACGGCAGGGAGATGAAACATCTTGCCAGCAATCAACAAGGATCTGAGGCCTCCTGCCAATCTCCATGTGGAAGACACCTCTTAGAAGCAGATCCTCCAGCCTAAATCAAGCTTATGGATTAATTCATTTTGAATGAAACTTCACTGGGATCTTGAATCCAAATCACCCATAGAAACTGTGAGCTAATAAGAGCTTATTGTTTAATGCCCCTAAATTTTAGGGATAATTTGTCACCAAGCCATAGAAACTAATACTCATCTGATGTTTCTCAAGCTGGAATGATTTTGCAGGGAATTTTGTCATTGTCTTGAGACATTTTTAATGATGGTGGCTTTGGGGGCAGCAGTTCCTTTGCAATCTAATGAGTAGAGGCTGAGAATGCACAAGACCCTCTCCCTCCCCTCAAGCAAAAAACAAATGCCAGGTCCCAATGGCATTAGCACTGAAGAAACTGCACCCACCTGTCTACTTTCCCTAGAACCTTAAGAATTTCCTTTCTCATTGTACTTGTGGAAAAGGTAGGGTTTGGATGCCCCTTCACCTGTTTCTTAACCCTCCCTAATATACTCCTCAAACTCCCTTGCTGATCAAAGCCTAAGTCCAGAGATAGCAGTACCCCTTTTAGGACAATCTGCTGCTCCTTTCCAAAGCAATGGAATCAATAAGAGGCAGGTCTCCTCTCCCTTGATGGTTCTCTCTCCTACTTACTCTCTTGAAGTATGACACAGTTGTCAAGTATATTAGACTTAAAGGTTGGGAATAACTTAAAGCAATTATATCTTATAAATCAAATCATTTTTGGTGATTGTATTAGTAAAGGTTCTTCAGAGAAATAGAATCAATAGAATATCTACATATATATGTGGATTTGTTCGGAAATTGGCACACACAATCACAGAAGTTGAAAAGTTCCATGTCCATCATATCTATAAGTTAGAAAGTCAGAGATGCCTGTAGGAATAACTCAATCCAAGAAGCTGGAAACCGCAGAACAAGAAAGCCAATGGAACAGCCTCCAGTAGGAGGCTGAAGGCTCAAAAACTTCAGAGGGCTACTGGTGCCAGACCCAGAGACTACACACACATATGGAGTCTGTTATTGAAGGGTAGGCAGCAGGAGAAATATACCCTGCTCAGGGAGGAATAACCAGAGAGGGAGTTGTACTTCTTGTGTTTTC